GATAAATAGATATAGGTTACATTAGTGAATAGTTGACAAGTGACATCATAGTTTTTGTTAGCAAAGTAATTTAGAAAGAGAATCGATAAGTTGATGATCAGATAAACATCTCACAAAGACAATCGTCAAAAGTGAATCGGTTTATTGTTAGATCAGAATAGGAAGTCAACAATGAAATATTTCGAATGACACTTACAGTTATGACGAGTCTTATGAGAAGCGATGACGCCATCAATTAAGACAATAAAGAGTCTTATCTTTTAGTAATATTTCTCGCCTTGCTGAACAATTGTATCAAACTGATGACGACAAGGTTGACGTTGATCGCAGGGGTAGATGAATAATTCTTAATTCTACATACATTTTTTATTTGCAGAAAAAGAGTTGACTGTGATCGCGGATATTTATTCATTCGCTCATTGCGTTCAACAAGTGGAAAATAGACGTAGTCAACCAACATGTTTCCGTTATAATTGTTTTTCATGTTTCATTGTCTTTTAGCTGTAAAACAAATCAAAATAAAATAATACTAGAGTGTGAGTTCATTGATAACAGAAAGAGCCACAATCACTACCCAATTCACACCCATATCTACATATTCATCCCTGCATTTACTCAACCCCACTCAAACTAACATCTCACAATTTACACTTCACACTGTTAATTAGTCAGATCAACTGTACATATAAAAGGTTCAGTTGAGTCAACTCTGTCTTTCAATAATACGTTCGTTCTCTTTTCAAGATTGGGTCCAATAGGGCTTCATAGTTCGAGGAGTTACTTGCGGTCCTGACTTTTCGACCTGGGTTTATTTATGCAGTGTTCAGTCCAACGACTCACAGGATGCACTGAAGATATTTCGCATCGAACTGGGCTTTCCATATTCGTCATACCACTTGGAGTCGTATACAACGAGACAATGTTGTGTGGTCCGGAATAAGCACAATTAACAAACCATCGTTTCTTTTCCATCCAAAATAGTGTTTGAAAAGGAGTAATCAATGAGTTTAAAGTAGAAATGATTTCATCATTGGCTTTTGTAAAAAAGAGAAATTCCAACTTTTTCAATAAAGGAACTTTGCTACTGACAAATCGTTCCCAAAAGTGACCGTCGAATACAGAATCAAATTCTCTTTGTCTTAAAGAAGTTACTTTGAAATGGAGAAGACCAGGTGTTACTGAAATCATTAATTCAAGTTGCTTTGTAGAAAGTGTACAGTCAGCAATTATTAACGAGGTCAATAATGTATTGAACTGAGAGTTTAAATTTGTGACAATTGTATCGTCCACATCATTATCATGCATGGTGCAGCAATTTGTTTGAAATGTTCGTAAATAAGGTAAGTGATTTAGAATAGCAATATAATCACTGTATGAACACGTACCGATTTTCAAGTATGTTAATTCGTAATGATCTGGCCATGATATACAGTCCGTGCTGTACTTGAAATTATTTAAACATATTTTTCGAATTTTATACCTAAGAATTATTGACGAGATAAGAGAAATAAGGGATGTTCTTGTTTTACTATTATTTTCACTCAAATCGATTACTAAAGAAGTGAGTGAATCGGTTGTTAATTGTTGGAAGAAATATTCAAGTTTTTCAACACTGATACCGCGAACTGTGACTGCTCGAAGTTGAGTGAACAAACGAATATCGATAGAAGGATGAAATAAGTCAATGTGATTGAAACAACTAGTATTATTGCAGATGTTTAGATTTGCGACGTTTTTCGGATTAAGAATATGATAAAACGAGTTGAAATCCAATGTTGGGTTTAAATTAAATTCAAGTTTAAATCGATAATAAGTGTTGACATATGAACAAAGACGTTTACAGGTCAGATTAATTGAATAGAGAATATTTTGAGTGTCACAGTAATCAAATATGCGATGAATCAATTCGACAGGTAGTGTAAAAAGTGGTGTATGTTCCATTTTCGTTGCTCGAACGAATGTGATCAAGTATTGTTGCTGTTTCTTGGAAACGTATGAGTCTCTAGTGATATTTTTACATTTACATCTCTATAGCAATAACCTAATAGATGGACTGTTTACATCTAGTGAGACCAAAACGAAGTACACGAAGTGTTTTAAAAATTCTGAGAGAATTTAGATCGTACAGAAACTATAGATTTAGTCGAATGTGACGGCTAATCCGCCATTTACTTTTAGCAAAGAAGTTGCAAAGGTTTTTCTGAACTTCTTTACATCAGTACATAACGACAGATCCATTGTTTTAATGATAAATGTGTGGACACCCTTGTTGTCATCCACTGTTTTTTAGAAAGATATATGACTTCGTGCTGGAAAGCTCGAAAAACGAGTGAGAAATCGAATCATGAAAAGTGAACAGTAGTATCATCAGACAAAATATATACAATATAGTAGTTCATCTGACAATAAAATCAAGAAGTACACACAAAATAATAAATATAAGTAAGCTATAAAATAAAAGAAGAGTAAAAGCCTGATTGCCGATCTGATTAGTTTTGAATTAGTACTAAAAATTGCAAAATGTATGTGTTTCAGATCCTCAAGAGAGTCGGTGTTTCTTTTAAGCTTTGATCGCGTTCCATTTCAAACGAAAGATGGTGAGGGCGGGCAGAATGAATGTGATGGCAGTATTCTTTTTATTTATACGCACATCAGTCATACTCATACCCTCAAAGGAATAAGGTAAATATTACATAGTAACACACAAACCATAACATATGGTAGTTTTTAACTGTTTCTTTGTATTTTTATCATCGACTCAGACCTAATAAGAGACCCTTTTCTCTCAATACTATGATACTTACAGTTAGTGACTAATCAAAGAATGTGCATGCAATCGTAAGAAACCAACAGTGAAAATAAGTTGTGCTTCTCTTTTATTTTTAATATAGAAAGGAAGTGTCGTCACATAAGAAAATACTTCGTTCTGTTCTGAAGTAAAAAAGAAAAATACAAGAAAGCGAAAAAATATGCACGTGAAACTACCTCAATGCTGTATATTCTGACGAAAAGAGTCTTGCGTGAATCACCAATCGACTATATTAGGCACTACCAGTGATGATATCTAGTTCACATTTTCACATAAGAAAAAAATTACAATAGAAATAGTGTAAATAAGATGCTCTGCAAAACTATATATTTTATTTTTGTCTCAAATGAGTATTATGTACTAGACGTCGCTACACTACAAGTATCGAAGTGGTTTCCAATGAGTTTATTGTACGCTTGTCGTGATTTAAATTCATAATGGTGTCGCTGTATGTAACATCTGTGAAACATCACCAGATAAATATGGTTATTTATATTCATCGAATATATCTGCTATGCTCAAAAGCTATCATCCGAAAAAAGGCAAATACTCTGAAAAATAGGGTGTGGCTGTGATTGTGGGTGTTACCATATACTAGATCAACAACAACACTCACAACCACACCCACACCCATTTTCAAATGATTTCAGACACCTCTTCACTATCACCTTTGCCTCATTTCGCATCTATGATTCAACGATAGCGAATTCGATAGGCTATTTCATACACATTCGATTCTCTCTCGGCAAACAGATGTGGATGCACATGAGTAAAAAATAGTGATATCGGTACCAACACCGACATTCTACAATAACAGCTGCAGCCATACCCACATCCACATACACTACACTCACACCCATCTTACACCACCCACACTCTTCGTGCAATCAAATCATGTGTAACTGAGTCGGAAAAAAATTGTGTTCGAACTTTGAGTTACATTCTAAGTAAAATAATAATTCAGAATATGATTAAATAATAGCATCAAGAGAATATATTCAATTTCTGATCCGCGGTGTACACGGTATCGATAACTTGTCGATTCGTAGCATCATGGACTAATGCGTTCCAGTGAGAGTTCTGCTCGGCTAGCCAGCCTAAATTACCGAAGATGTACAAAGCACGGCATGCTCTTGTGAGCATTACATTTAGACGATGTTCGTCACGTAAAAACCCAATCGTATCACTATCACAATTTCTTACGCTTCTTACACATGATATGAGAACAATATCTTTTTCTTTTCCTTGTGCATTGTCCACAGTCATCGTTTCTATTTGACGCGGAAATTCCAGTTTTTTTTCACGAAACAGATTCATTTGTTTTTTGTACGGCGTGATAACCATGATACGTTTTTCCATTTCGATAAATTCTTTATCATCTTTAACATACGGTTGTCGTCCAACTAGGCTCTCAAGTAGTTTGATGCAGAATTTTTTGATGAAAATTCGCTCTTCTTTGTTATGCGATGATCCACCATTTGGTGGAGACGTATGTTCTGTATAAGTCAAGTTATATAAATAATAAGGTTCAAGAGGATAGTCCGGCCAATAATTTGTTGCGCTTTGATGTGTCTCAAGTTGATCTTGATAGAAAAGATCGCTTGGAAATTTACATATTTCGTCATGCATACGATACTGTGTAGTAAGTAAAGTAATACTTTCTCGATGGATGCGAGAATCAAGTCGAGTGTATAGTGATTGCGACAGATTATGGCTTTGCCCAACGCCACTGAGAACACATGGCGGAAGCTGTTTTGGATCACCGACCAGTATAATCTTATAGCAACCGAAATAAAATGGTAAAAGACAATCAGCTTCGAGACTTTGACAAGCTACACAGTAACTGTCAGAAATATGTAGGATAGTACAGATAAAGAAAATTTACCTTCGTCAATAATGATAAATTTAATCAATTTCTTCTTTTTAATCGATAGAAGTGTGTTATTCGCTGTATAGTTCAAAGTTGAAATGATAACTTTAGCCCTTTTTATAATCTTTTCCTTTAAACAGTCTGCCGTTTCATATGTTACTGGCTGTTCATTCTGCATTTGGTTGACTAGCTCTTCCATCGTAAGCGATTCAAGAAAATGGTCACAAACACTATGGTCAAGGGGTTCTGCGCGACCTACTCGCACCAGTGTTCCTATGCAGTCAGTAAACTCATGTCTGTGATTAAGCACAAAAAGTAATATTAACCTGTTTCATATTTAGAATCAAGTTCATTTAAAATTCGCTTGAGCAGTTCGTCACATGCATTATTTGATGGTGCGCAGAGTAAGATTTTTTTCCCTTCGCTTAATTTTGGTAGAAGTCGTATAACAATACCAGCAATTGTTTTACTTTTTCCAGTACCTACATTAAGGGATGTCGCTTAGATTTTATGAAAATAGTTTTTTGAAAGAAAGGAAACAAGACCTGGTGGACCATGCACAAGATGCAGACGGTCAGTTACATTCCAACTAGACATTCGTTCTGCATAGTTAATCACCCGCATTTGAGCAGGATTAAAACTATTAAGTACCAGTTCTTGAAAATTGTCAAGTTTCTCATGATGATAATAGGGGTCTGTACTTGATGGATTGAGTAGAGCTCTGCGTTTTTCTTCTGGCAGTGAATGTAGATTATAAATAGCACTTATATGTCGCCGAGATGACGTCATATTGCTCAATTTAATTAAAGAAATTTTGTGTAATCCTGTTTTTCTAGAATGTTGTTTCACAGCATCTGAACATTTTTTTGAAGCATACAAGACAATTTGAGATTCTACTTGAATAATATTCTTTGTGTTGTTAGAATCCGATGAATTTTCAATTGAGACATTCTCTATGTCTGCTGGCCAAAAGTCTTCAACGTGAACAATAATAGCAAAAAACTTCTGATGGTCATCTTGAGAATCAACGTTGACTAGACAGATATCGCATAGACCGAGCTTTGGAAAGGATTGACTGAATAAAAGATCAATCTGGAAATTATACGAACCGAAAATTAAGGCAGTTGGAATTACTGGTTCAGATTGATCTATTAATCGTGTAGTTTTATATTTATGTTCGTTAATTTGAATTTCAATATCGCCAGCATTTCTTAATAAGTCATACTCCTTCGTATCACGCTTAATTTCTTCCCAGAGTTCATGATAAAGAAGAGGCACAAAACATTGTTCATATTGAACTTGTGCAGTTTTAATATCAAAAATATCCTCATTCTGTGACTTACCTGAAAAGAAAAACTATTGGGTATGTTTTTAGATTTGTTGCATTCAACTTACTGAACATCTGTGACACAGAAACTAAGCTGTCAGGTGTCAAACTTGTATGCAAAGCAGAAGTAGAAACGCGAGAATTTTGCGATAGATAGGCGGGCTTCCATCTCGTGACGATACGATCGAACAAAGTTCGAATGCCGGCATGAACCTGCGGTTGCCACACAGATCGTTGTGATGGATCCTGAATCCATGTTTGTGCGATCTGATACTCAAAAAGATGTAAAGCCGTCACGACACGTCTTTTAAATCTGCTCAAAATACGTGCCTTGATCCAGAGATTACGACTGTGAGGATCTGTGAGTTTCAATTGAAACCATGTTTGTGCCGTGTAAGTACCATCAGGTGCGACTGGATTTGCCATCAGTATTTATCTGAAAATGGTAAAAAAAATAATTAATTTGATAGAAAAAGTCGGAATAGTTTTGTTTCTATTTGCAAAGGGTCTCACATTTGAATCATAAGTACGAGGTGACGAGCATATTGTCTCGTTACTATAGAGTAATGTGTAACAGAACGAGTAAACTTCAACTATTGTTTCAGTATATTTTGTTTTTCTTTTTATTTTCGTGACGTTGTAACGACGATGTCGCATTCTCAAACCTTTCTATGTAACCATTCTTCGACTTGTGACACGTTTCAAAAGTGTTTACATTCCTTTAAGCAAATGTGTTTCTCATCATCCAAAATTTGAACAGTTTTAAGTGCCTATACGTGGTGTGGGTATGAGTGTCAAGGAAATAAGGATGATCACACCCATATCCTATAAGAATGTTCATTCCATGTTGATGGAACTACCAAAGTAGTCTTTTCAAAAATGAAATTATCACAAAATCTCTTGGAAAGTTGAGTGGAAGGTCGAAGATCTTTCACAAAAGTCTGTTAAAAATTAGGTTTTTTTAATAATTTATATATTCTAAAAGAGAAAACTTCACTGCATCTTCCTGCCATATAAACTCGACTTCGATTACTTTTCAAAAACAAAAAAAATTTTCTAAGCGAATCTCTTGGAGGTTTTACTGCTATAGGAGATCGAATATGCATGTGTATTGAGCGAGTACTGCTAGAGAAGCAATATTTATAAGTATGTGAACGATTTTTCTCACCTTCTTTCAGCCACTTGTACAGAAAAACGAAAATAAACAACTACACACTTACATAGTTTCTCTAGAGGGTGAAAAACAAGCACTGCATAACTACTTTAATATTTTGCAATAATTTCGATAGAAAAGAAAGAAAATGTGCACAACATACCTATTGTCACATGGTAGCCAAACAAAAAATTTATTGATATTCAACACAACATAGAGCATCTTCAAACAGATCTGCATCACTGATCATCAACTAACTATCACAAGAGAAAAATATTCGATAGAATGCTTGGTAGCTGGTCATAAAAAAGCATAAGATGATAAGAAAAGGGGGAGTAATAATATGATACATATCATGAATGAAACCGTTCTACTACACACAAAGTCAAATATCTCTACATAGAAATAGAATCGAATTTCAG